TCTCAACTAGCTACGGGGACCCGTGGGCTCAAGGGTCAACCTCTAGCCGAACGGGGGTTGGGGGCGGGGACGCCCTCCGCGCCCCCACCCCTCCACCCCTACGTGCTCCCACACTACCCGGGCTACGGCCGCCGCAGGTCCGCGGGAATGCCAGCCCCCAGGGACAGCCGGACCCGCGCGCACTCCCACACCCGATCCAGCCTCGCCCGCAGAGCATCCCCGCTCTCTCCGCCTCTAACCTCTGCTCGGAGCGGGCGCAGCCAGCACGTCCCGGATCTCGCACTGGCGAGCGAAATCCTCTGCCTGCCCTCCCTTCCCCGCCTCCCGCACCAGAGGATGGGCTTCGTCACCGGCGCGCAGCGGGAGACAGGTTCTTCCTCCAGCCCGGGCTCCGGGGGCGGGGCCACAGCGCGGCTTTCGGGAACCGCGGCGGCCGGTTACTAGGCGAGATCACCGCGCTTGGAAACCGCGACGCCCCCAGAGCCTGGATCCGCCCCCTTTCTCTCCCCGCCCAGGTTTCTCCCTTTCCCGATGCATTCTGGGAATTGTAGTTCTTTCAACGCTGGCTGGGGCAGGGAGCCCTCCGAGCCGAACCACAAGTCCCAGGATTCCGCACGCTGAGAGAGGGCCATGGAGAGGCTGTTCCCGGCGTCGGCGGTTCCTGCGGTTCTCCCGCGGAGGGGAGGAAGGCGTACCAAGGGCGAATGCTCGTCAGCGCCCTGCGTTCCCTAAGTGACTGAGGAGGTGGCCAGCGTGCGTATGTATCTATGGAGAAGAGCAGTGGAGTCGGAGTAGAGACAGACAATCTATGGCCCACCTCGAGAATTTCTTCTGCACCAGTGCCTGAGGATTACTTGTAACTAGCCGACTGAAGCCCAAGTTTTTTTCCTACTTCAGTTTTCCTTTTTGTTCAGATGCTGCCACATTTAAGAAAAATGCTGAGGGATGTGGGTTCACTCTGCCTTAACCAGCGCCTTCGTGTGAGCTACCTCCTAAATTACGGGATTGGCGGATTTAAGGATATTTTGGAAATGGAAGGGTGGTCACAGCATGAAGAACCCGCCTTGGCCTTCAAACACAGATGCCTGTGGCATTCCTCCAAAAACTGCCCAAAGTGAACTATGAATTCCAAAGTAGCCCATTTTCACATTGGGAGCACAGCCGACCTGTGGAAAGACATTTAAAAATCCCAGTGACTAAAGGATGGTAGAAGGAATATTGGGAGCATATCTTTTATTTGCCTCTCCATGCTCTCCTTGTAATTACTTAACTAGTTCTTCAACTACCTCAAGTTTTAATACAGCCCTCTGAGAGGTAGGAAAGCCTCCAGAAGATTAGAAGTGCCAGAGTTTGGATGATCAGTTGCTGCCTGCAGCAATGAAGATGTGAATTGGTTTCAATGTTATTTGTAATCTGCAAATATGTGAGGTGGCACTGTGCAGATAAGGGCACTACCAAGAACAAAAACAAAATTCCAGAAAAAGATTTGAGACATAAGCAAAAATATAAATAACCAGTAATGCCTTACCATAAAACACTGCCAATGAATTATGTAGAGACAATAGATTCTATTTAGGAATTCAAAAGATGAAGAACTTTTCCAGTTATAAGTCAGGAAAGGCTTCATGGAGGAAATAGGTAGAATTGAGATTGATCAAGACAAACTGAAAGAACAATCTACATGAATCTGTGGAATAAAAGGATAGATGCAGGAAAACAGATTTAGAGACACTGAATAGAATCAGTGTGAGAGAAAATTCATGAAAGATGAAAAGGGGACATAAACCTGAAAGGTTAGATTGTGGATGGAGATGAACCTAGAGGTTTCCACTGTATCCTTAAAATAATGGAGAGCCATTGGTTTTGTTTTGTTTTTCTCCTTGACAAGGAGAATAACAATAAAAGCAGTAGTCTTCAATAGAAATAAAAAGTTTCATCAGGACTTGCCCATTATCAGGGGACTGTGCAGAGCCAAAAGAATAAGCCAAAATATGTGGAACTAAGATACACCACTGGCTGCATGGAATGGGTTGTGGAACAGTACATTGCATAGGCTCTCAAGAAAGAGCAAAAGCCTGTCCCCTAGCAGAAGCTATACTGAATCCCAGTAGATCTCACCCTTTTCCCTACTCCATCCTTTTTCAATATTAGGCTATAGAGAAGTGGACAAAATAATGCCAGCCACCAAACTATGGCTCTAAGAATATCAACTCATTCCTAGATAAAGTAGGAAGTAGATCAAGAATTCATGCACAGTGTATCAGAATAAATAATTTGGAAAGAACTGCTCCATCAAACAAGCAACAAGACAGGACATAGCCAACACAAACCAAGATCCTGAAAGAAAGTTACATTATGAAGAACCTCACCTGGAAGAAAATTTATGTCAAAGAAGCAGATTTTCTACCAAAGAAGAACTTAGTTACAGTATGAACTCAAAATATCAAGGACTTGGGGCGCCTGGGTGGCTCAATCCATTAAGCATCCACTTCTTGATTTCAGATCAGGTTATAATCTCCTGGTTCCTGAGATATTCCTGAGTCGGGCTCCATGCTGACAGCACAGAACCTGTTTAGGATTCTCTCTTGCCCTCTTTCACTGCCCCTCCTACTCATGCTCTCTCGCTCTCTCTCTCTCTCTCTCTCTCTCTCTCCCTCCCCCCCCCTCGAGGTAAATAAATAAACTTAAAAATTTTTAATAAAAATAACACAATAACAAAATACCAGGAGCTTAAAGATGGATACTGAAGATAAAAGAAAAGCCAAGCTAAAGAAATAAATATAAATACAGTTTCAGATCTAATGAATAGATTTGAAACAACAGGAGGAAAAAAAAAAAACACCTGGAAATCAAATTACCAGTATGGAAAAAACACTGGAAATTATCACAAGAAATGCAGAGGGGCACCTGGGTGGCTCAGTCGGTTAAGTATCTGACTCCTGACTTCATGATACAGTCATGATATGGTTTGTTGATTCAAGCCCCGCATCAGCCTCTGTGCTGACAGTGTGGAGCCTTGGTTGGGATTCTCTGTCTCCCTCTCTATGTCTACCCCTCCCCCACTCACTATTGTCTCTCTTTCAAAAAATAAACGTTACAAAAATAAAATTGATGATGCTTGAGAGAGAGCAAAGATAATCCAACATATAGATCATTGGTATTCCTAAATTAGAGAAGTCAACAAATGGAACAGAAAAGGTATTCAGAAATAAAGTAATACATTAACTGAATCTGCAGATTCAAGAAGTACAACATATACCAGAAAAAAGGATGATACAGTCTCCATGAAGGCATATCTTAACAATATTATTTAACTTCAAGAATAAATAATACTTCAAAGTCATTCGTGAACTTTAGAGAGGACTATTACACAATCTCTGCCAATTAGTAATTAAAAGGAAACATTTAAGCACTTATTGTGTGTTTTGGAGGGAAGTAAAGTTTATCCGCAGTTGATAAAGGAAAGCTATTTACCTAAGGATACTAGCTAATAAATGTAAGAAAAATGATAGATTTAGGAAATTATTCAATGATGTAACTGATGCAGGTAAAGGTTGTAAATGTATACTAAAATGATTAGATGAAAGAGTAATGCTAAAGAATCACGCTCACAGATTATGTACATTTAAACAAGAAGATCTGGAGGTCAACATCTCAAACAAATTACCATAAATATCACTGGGATGCCTGGCTGGCTCAATCAGTAGAGCATACAAATCTTGATCTCAGGGTTGTGGGTTTGAGTCCAATGTTAGGTGTAGATATTAATTAAAAACAAAATCTTGAAAAAAAGGTTAGTATCACAAATACCAGCACAAACTGCATTTTCTACCTCTTGCTATGATGCAATGTGAAATGCTGCATAAAATATTTTTGGCCAAATAATATCTAACCCAACTCTAATCAAGTCTTAACACCTAACTCAGTTTACATAAACTATGGGATAGCTGAACAGACAACTTAACTGAAACCACAAGCAAACAAGTAAAGCCAGAAGATAGGAGAGGATACAACACAACTGGTCCGACCTCATCAAAAAAAAGTAAATGTATGAAACAACAAGAAGTACAAAACAAAGTGCAGGGTTATTCTTGTTTAAAAGAGGGTAAAGACACACAAAAACCAAATACAATGTGACTAGATCTTGGATTCTTTTGGGGTTTTTTAAGGCTACAAAAGACAATGTGGGTAGAAGGAACAACCGGGGACATTTGAATACAAAGCGGACACTAGAGCATATTAGGGAATTCGTTAATTTTTAGAAAATCTTTTTCTTTGGAAATATATCCTGGAGTATTTAGGAGTAAAATGTTATGTTGGCAACTTACCTTCAAATGATTCAGAAGTATTATCTGTATACATACAAACACACACATGCACATATTCATAAGGAGAAATAAAGCAAATAAGGCAAATATTAGCAATTGCTAAATCTAGGTATTTTTTAACTTTTTCTGCATGTTTGGATTTTTTTAATAAAAAATTGGAAAAGAATTTTTTTTTTGGATCTAGACAGAAACAAAAATGGAGGATGGGTACGGAAGGAAATTAGGTTGCCCTCAGTTGTCTGCCCTGCAACCTCCAATGCCAGAAAAAATGAAACAGTATCTATATAGAGAGATAGAGAAGGAGAGTGTAACATCAGAGTTATACCCAGCTAAATTGTGTAAGTGTAAAGGCAACAGACATTTTCAGCATTAAAGAACTTAATGACATTGTTTAGCACTTGTGACAATTATAATGAATTTTAATGGCAAATGACTAAGTATTTATTTATTTATTTATTTACTTACTTACTTAAAGTTTATTTTTGAGAGAGAGACAGAGCATGAGTGGGCGAGGAGCAGAGAGAGAGGGAGACACAGAATCCGAAGCAGGCTCCAGGCTTTGAGCTGTCAGCACAGTGCCTGATGTGGGGCTCAAGCTCAAAAACTGCAAGATCATGACCTGAACCGAAGTCAGCACTCAACCAACTGAGCCATCCAGATGCCCTGCAAATAAGCCATTTAAAAAGGTAGAGGTTTTGTGGCTACATTGAAATGCAGCTATGCTTTCATCACAGCAAGTTTATTGCAGTGGTGACAATGAGACCTGTAACATTTCCTACCAGGCTCATGGGCTAGAATGGAAGTAACAAGACTTTTCAATATTAGAACCAACTAAGGAATACTTATATTTTAGGTCATTTGCCAAAACAGCAATCACTGTACTTTCTACAGTTTGACTTCTAGGGCCCTGATGTAAATTGCTTGGAGACATTGGATTCCAAAGATTACAAGGGAGAATTTTTGAAGTGCATCCATATTCAAGCAGAGATCAAAGCCCTACAGAAACAACTGTGGACTGACTGACAGGGACAACCATGGATTGAACAAAAGTTTTTTTTTTAAAGGGGCTGTTTTGAAGATTATGATTCTGACTTTGGAGGAACTAAAGTAATTGGCAATAGAAGGAATCATATATGAAATTCCTTAAAAACTGACTTTAAAAATAACAAAAATAAGTTTCTCTCATAAAAAGTCTAGAGGTATAGCAGCATAAGAAAATGATCAGATACTCAGCACCCTTCTATCTTGCTATTATACTACGTTCAGCACAGATCTTCCAGCTCATGGTTTAAGATGACAAATCAAACTTCAGTGTTTATATTTGCATTCCAGCTAGCAGGAAGAAGAACAGAAGATGGGCATATCCCCTTTAAGTATATTTTCCGTAATTTTCATACAACACTCTGCTTATATCTCATTGGCCAGAACTTTGCATCTAGCTGCAAGGAAAGCTATACTTAAACACTGTATTCTTGGGTGCAGTGTGTACATTTAAAATTAGGAGTATTAGGGGCACCCGGGTGGCTCAGTTGGTTGAGCATCTCACTCTTGATCTTGGCTCAGGTCATGATCTCATGGTTCATGAGTTCAAGCCCCAAGTCAGGCTCTGTACTGATAGCGCAAAGCCTGCTTGGGATTCTCTCTCTGCCCCTCCCCCATGTGCATGTGTGAGCACTCTGTCTCTCAAGATAAATAAACTTAAATAAATAAAATCAGGAGTATTATACTGAAAAATGGAAAAGTAGTGCTGCTGTTCAGTAGTTTCTGCTATCACACTCACGGGTCCTTTTTGAAAAAACTTTCTGATGATGATACTCAGCAACTCGAGAAGTGAACAAAAGGGTCAGAACTAGGGAAGTCATGGTAAAAAGATGGGAGGTGAGCTTTGAATCAACTTAGTAGAGAAATAGTTCTCTCTGTTCATTCTTCAGTTTCACGTGTTTTTTCTCTTTTTATTAACTTAAGTAAAATTAATTAAAACATTTTTATTTTTTAAAAGTGGATATAATATGATCCCATTCTCATGAAATTCTTTCTATCCATTCAATCATCTGACCCTAAATCTAACTGCATCTGCTTGAAAATATTATAGTTCCTCAAAACCTAACTGGTTATTTCTGGAAAACTGCAATTGAGAACAATTTATTGCTTTCTTTTTATATCTTTTTGATGGTTCAAAAATGCCTGAAATGAGAATGTACCATTTTAAGTAAAACAATAGGTCATTGCTCTTAAGAATCTGTGTTGATAATAAATTACATTTTTATTGGAATAATATTTGGCGTCATTAGGACATACCCTTTGGTTGATCCATCCACACCCTCTTAACTGGCAAGATCAAGGGCCTGTCAGATCACAACAGAGTTAGGACCTAGGAATGTAGCTATTTGACCACAATTTTCTTTGTAAAAGCTAACCAATTTGTTTAGAGCTAGACTTGACCTCATCATAAATGAACCACTAAAAATTGACAATGATATTTTACCAGCTATCAACTAATGAGGTTAAAGTCCACATTTTTAACCAAGTAAAAGATTTAAAAATAGATGTTTAACATCATTAAGCACCACAAAACTGCAAATCAAAACCACAATGAGATACCGCTTCATACCCAATGTAATGGCTATAATCAAAAAGACAATTACAAGCTTCAGAGAGGATGTGGAAAAATTGGAACTCTTATACATTGCTAGTGAGGATATAAAATGGTGCAGCTGCTTTAGAAAAGATTTGGGCAGTTACTCAAAAAAGTTAAACATATAGTCACCATGTGACCTAGCAATTCCACTTCTAGATATATGCCAAGCAATGTAACATCCATCCACACAAAAGTTTGTACATGAATGTTCATAGCAGCATTACTCATAAGTAGCCAAAAAGTGGAAGTAATCCAAATGACGCACAAATAAAATATGTATAAATATATAGTGAGATATTATTCCTCAATGAAAAGAAATGAAGTATTGATACAAGCTACAACATAAACCTTAAAATCATTCTCAACAAATGAAGCCAATTACAAAAGATCACATAGTGGATGATTCTATTTACAGATGGAATGTTCAGAAGAGGCAAATCTATATAAACAGAAAGTAGAGTTGTGGCCTTCTAGAAGAGAGAAGGGTGGGTCGGGGAACTGTGTGTGACTATTAATGGGTATGGGATTTTTGGGTGGGTGATAAAAATGTTCTAAAATTACATTGTGATGACAGTTGCACAACTCTGAATATACTAAAAAACATTGAATTGTATACTTTAAATGGGTGAATTTACAGTATGTAAATTTCAATAGGGCTAATAAAAATAAAATCAGTGTTTAACTTATTTTATTTGTTTGTTGCATGTTAACTCCCTGTGTACTGTACATAATAACTATTTCCATGTAACTCCTTAAAAATCATTCATTTTTAGAGAAGATATTATTCATAGAGGAAAAGATTGACTTTAAAATTAAAGTTCAGCATTTTAATCTATCATCCAGAATTTATCCTATGTTAAATGTTTTTATAGAAACATCAAACATTTTGGGTAAACTATATAAGCTACATCAGAAGGTAACAAAATGCTAGGGCTAAAGAAATGGGAAACTATCAGTCATTTGTGTAGAAAAGAACTTCTCAAGTTTTTTCCCCACCTCTTTTCAAACTCTTTTAACAAAGGATAAAGAAGCTCTACTGAGCTGTAATAGACACTACAATCTAAGATCAAATCAGTAAAAAGTTTCCATGATTTTCCATTGAAGATAGAGTTTCTCTATATTCTCTGTTCAATAAAGATAACATGAAAGAACTAGATCAGACAAGTAGGAAAAGGCCTCTTTAATCCATGTTTAAAAAGGACCAATTCTAAAAAGCATTCCCAGATACCCAGAGAGAGTCTGTCTTTCACATTGTAATTAGCTAAAATTCTATGTAAAGTCTAGTTAACCTGAAGACCAACTTGCAATGTACAGATGTCCAACTTCAGTACATCATTTGATATTTCTTAGTCCAAACATGGGTTCTGGTATAATTCTTTTTTTCTGCTCCTGGTAATAATTCAGTTACAGTGTTCCTTCCTAATAAAGCCTCCATTGAAGCTTTTGCATGAGGTCTCTAATCTCAAAGACAGAATATGAAAAATTAGTCATACAACTAATAATAGATGCTATACTTATAGTACACTTGAAATGTTTTAGGTCAATTATAATAGGGGTAACATCTAGTTGTTAGATGTGAGTCACTGTTTCTGACGTCATTATATATTCTTCCTAAGTGGACCCTACAGGTTAATTAATATGTCTTTTGTAAAATTTTTGCAGTGTCTCCTAGTAAGAGCAATGAGAAGTTCCTATAAAAGATGTTGATTTGTGTTTCAAAATTATAAAGATGTGACAATCTCAATGGTAGGTAGGATCCTTAATTATAATTTAATAATTATTATTACTAATTATTGTTATTAATTAGTAGTTTTGTGCTACCTGCAGGTACACTTTCTGGAACATTGTTCAAGCTTACACTGAAGGGGAATTTGTAATCGTGTCTAAGAATCACAGGATTCTTGAGCTGGAAAATATCTTAGAGATACCTTAATTTTACTAGTAAAGGAGTTCAAGTGATGGTCAAGAGTGAAGAAGATCCCTAACAACTTTGCTGAGTGCTCGTATAGTCAAACAGACAACTCCTCAGTACTGCTATGGGGAGAGATGAATAATGCTACACAGAAAGTATCACGGAATAGTGTGAGGAGGAAATCCTTTCAGTTCAGAAGACAAGGCTCTGAAGCCAGATTGCCCAAATTGTAATCCTTCTTCCAGTTAGTAGTCTTTTGGCCTTGGGAAGGTTACCTAATCTCTGTAAGCCTCAGTTTCCTCATTGGTAAAATGGACATAATAGGGGCGCCTGGGTGGCTCAGTCGGTTAAGCGTCGGACTTCAGCTCAGGTCATGATCTCACGGTTCATGGGTTCGAGCCCCATGTCGGGTTCTGTGCAGCTCAGACAGCTCAGAGCCTGGAGCCTGCTTCAGATTCTGTATCTTCCTCTCTCTCTGCCCCTCCCCTGCTCACGCTGTCTCTCTCTCTCTCTCAGAAATAAATAAAACATTAAAAAAAATAAAAAAAGATGGACATAATAGTACCTACCTCATAAGATTGTTGTAAGGATTGAATGAGTGAAATACATGTAAAGCAAACTGGGGTCCTACAGGGAGTCTCCTTTGACTTACAGAGCAGATATTTTGCAGGGCTATGGAGACATGCCCACCCAGAACCCATCACCTCCCCCATCTCTTCTAGACCATACATACTCCAGGTATCCGAGACACCGGAATTACCTATACAAATGGCCCTGAGCCCACTTATAGGGCTACCTTGGACTGCTCTGCTGGAGTGTACTCTCCTGGGTCAGAGGATGACCCAAACGGGCAGCTATTTGTGGAGTGAAAGGCATGTATCTGAAACTTGGGTGCATGGGCTGAACGTCTACAAACTTGTATGCAAGGCCCCTCGTGGACAGAATTAAAAGGTAGGATGAGAAGAGAGGCAGCCTAGAGGCAAGGGACAATTTCTCCTCACACTGTCATGTTCTGGCATGGAACTCAAGGAATTCTAAGAATTCCTCATTTCAAACTGTCCTCCCAGGTTGTTATGAAGGCACATTTGACAAGGTAAGAGGAAAGAACATATGTGACAGCCTACTCAATCACTTTTAAGTGTGTAGACATATAGCAAGGACTGTATGTCTTTAGTATTCTTGCCTTGCCGCAACGAGTGTTAGAGGTAAGCCTGGTGCCTCCAC